ACAATAGAAATAATTACATTAAAAGCTATGCAATATCTTTTCTAAAAGTGCATAGCAGAGTTTCAAGAAATATACAAATGAATCTCTCACACAGAACTAATGCATTTTTTAAATTTCATTTTATGTAACACAGAATCAAAAACACTACAGAACATGAATAATTCTAAATCTCATCCATGTGTCTAAACACAGGTATTGTTACAATAGAAATAATTACATTAAAAGCTATGCAATATCTTTTCTAAAAGTGCATAGCAGAGTTTCAAGAAATATACAAATGAATCTCTCACACAGAACTAATGCATTTTTTAAATTTCATTTTATGTAACACAGAATCAAAAACACTACAGAACATGAATAATTCTAAATCTCATCCATGTGTCTAAACACAGGTATTGTTATGCTGTTGGATGATGACTGAAAGCTAATCAGTTTCTGCTATTGCCGTAAATGGCTAGCAAAGAAAACACTCAACATATTGTAGCAGAGTTGCATTGTGTCTGATGTTCAGGGTATTTCAAATTACTTAAACAGCTGCTTAGAGATAAACTTCAACAGGACAGAGAAAATAATTTACCAGGTTTTGTCTGTGGCACATGAGGCTTTGGTGATGGTTTAGGCTTCAAAGGAACACGTCTTGTCTCTTTTGGAGCTGAAAGAGAGAACCGGAGTTACAAATTATTACCCAAAAATCAGTATCTAATGCCAGGTGTAAGACAGAGACATGGCACGTCACAAGCCTGTAATGGGTAACAGAGAAGATAAAGTTAGGTGTACAAAGGAGTTTGAAGAAAAACACAACATGATGAGTGTGTCTAGATTTATCCAAGCAGTGAAGTGGGATTCCTGATCATTTTGAATCCCAGCTGAAAGAGATTTGGAGGATAAGATGTTTCAAAACAGACAGCCTGAGTGCCTTAAAAAGGAATTAATATACCTCTGTAATAAACAAAAATTCCTAAAGAGCCTTTAGTGACAAACAACAGACTTAGCTAGGGGGAAAAAAAAGAGGAATTTTAAAGAAAGAAACTGGTGACATGAGATGAAAACTACAATGTGACTTTCTGTGAAGAGAAGAAAAAACAAACATGACTGGGCACTAAACAAATTTCTTTACCTATTGTTGACTTTGGTGGTTCAATTCTAAGTGTAATAGGTTCCAGGACTGCATCAGAAACAAAACAACAGTAAAAGCATGAGAATCTAAGCATGGAACACCCTTTCCCCCTTTAAAGATACTTCCTATGTAAGCAATAAATAAAATATTTTGCTAATGTGGTCTGTGCTAATGCCATGGATTATCAAATTACCCTTGGATATCTTGCTCTGATTTTTAGAAATTGTGGTCAATTAATTGTGAAGACACCATTACCATAAAGAAATACCATAAGCTGGATGAATTCTCAATTTTGAGATAGTAAAAAAAACCAGAGTCATAAAATCAGAGATAAAAGAGATCTAAGAGGTCATGCATTTCTTCTTGCAGGAATACAGCACTCTTCCCTGCAGTGCATTATCTAGTCTACTTTTAAAAGTCTGAAGCAATCGTGCATCCTCCACCTTCTTTGTTAAACTATTCTACTACCTAATACATCTCATTTTTAGCAAAAATTTCCTGATATTCACCCTAAATTTTCCCTCTCTCTCTGCTGCAGGAAGAATATAGCAAAAAATAAAACAAATCACTTTAGCTGTGCTTATGTAGCCTTTTTGGCAAACAGTCAAAATATTGTATCTCGCAGCATGGAATTTCACAGCAACAAGGGTTCGGTTTGCACATTCAGATGAAGTGGTATAACGGTAATACATTGTGTGATTGAACAAGGAATTACAATGTTGCCATGCTCCAACACCCACACCCACTGCACATGACTAATGTGTCTTACACAAGACTAATTTTATTTTATTTGGGAAGCAAGCCTTTGGCAAAGTTTTGTGGCTTGGAAAGGTAATGCTTGTAAAATTTCTCCATTCTGCTAATCTACTACCTATGTCCTTAAGAGTTTCAATCCTCAATCAGGGGCTAATCATGTGCTTGAAGTTAAGAATGTGTTTACAAAGCTTTACTGAACTGCAAACTACAAGGCTAGGTCTAGATTGCAACATTTTTGCAGAAAAAGCTACACAAAATGCACTCCACATTTTGCGTAGCTTTTTCCTCTTTTTTTTTTGGAAGAGGCTTTTCCACCATTTGGCCGCATCTAGATGGGGCCAAATGGTGGAAAAGCCTACTCTTTCAGTGGAGCTCTTATGCCTTATGAAACGAGGTATACAGGGCTCCCCAAAAGAGCATATTTGCTCTTCTGTGAAAAAAAGGAGAAGAGCAAACGCGTTCCTTGGACACAGCAGGGTAACCCCACAAAAACCCTATAGTCTAGACATAGCCCAAAAGTAACAGTCGTCCCATCAAACACCTGGAGATATGTTACCAATCACTAATCAAACCAACTTAAATTCCAAAAACTGAGTATAAAGTATTCCTAGCAAATTTATCAATCAATCCACAGAAAAGGAAAAGTTACTGCAAAAAAGTGGCTAATTTTGAACGAATAAAGTAAAAGAAAATAAATTGCTACTGATTATTTCCTTTGAATTATTCAATTGGCTCCATTTACAACCTGTTATTACTACTTATATCACAGGAGCAATAAGTAATTCCTTTCAACCTTTGGCAAATTTAACCAACCTTGAAATATTTACAACCTTCAAGTAACGGATGACAAGAGTGTGTAACAAACACCTGATAGCAAAGTAAAGGAAACACATCAGATCAAAGGAGTTTTGTTAGAACCAGTTGCATGAACAGGTAATTACCAGGTTTAGAATGTAGTAGTTCTGGCTCTGGGGATGTGTTAGGTTTAGAAGGAATGAACTGTGTTTCGGTTGGAGCTGAAAAAAACAAAAACAAAAACCCTACATTTCTAACACTCTTAAGGAATCACAACCTGACTCTGGCATCACGTTCAAAGTATAAGAAGTGATACCTGCAATGTTGTGAACAGCAAAAACTCAGTTAAGTTGGCATATATTTTATTCAGCAATGACTGTGACACTCAGGGCTGGCTTAGGCATACACAGAGTACTCAGTTGCGTAGGGCACCACAGTAGTTCTGGGGCACCACTCTGCCAGGAGAAACGGGAAGCAGTGATCAGGCAACAGCAGGGCTGCTGGGTCCTAGAGAGAGCCCATTGCACTGCCTGCAGCACAGTCCGAGGGAAGGGATTGGCTGTTGGGGTCTCTGGGAAAGGGAGAGAGTAGGGATGGGGGAAGGAACTTACCTGTGTGACTCTCTCCCCTAGCATAAGGTGAGGCAGGCTGGCTGGGCGGCTCTGTGGCAGTATCCTTTCTTCTTCCCTCCCCCCATGGAGCAGCCCCCCTTTCCCCCTCCCCCACGGAGCACCGAAGGGGCTGGCTGTGTGCTGACTGGGGCAAGGGCAGACTGGCCCAGCGGGATGTCTGCCGAAGGGCCGGCTGGCGGCAGATACGCGGGGTGCTGGCACCGGCACTTTAAATTCCCCGGTGCCGGCCAGGGAGCGCTTGTGCGGCGTGTTTAAACACACCATGGAACAGTTGAGAGGAGAGAAGCCCTGGCGTCTTCCCTCTCAGCTGGTTTGAGCGGAAACACAGTCCCCTGGCCAGCACCAGGGAATTTAAAGTGTCGGTGCCAGGCTCAGGCTGAGGCGTGCCAGCACCCCGCGTATCTGCCACCAGCTGGCCCTTTGGCAGACAGCCCGCTGGGCCAGTCCGTCCCTCCATCTATCTACCCATCTGTCTCCCCACACGCCCCTCCGTCCCCCCATCTATCTACCCATCTACCCCCCACACGCACCCCCGCCCCCCCACCCATCCACCCA